CATACTCCACCATATAAGTATAACCACTCAGAATTATTTGCAAACTCCTAGCATTTCATTGGCTACATGTCAAAACAACATTGTTGATAGTTATGGTGCAATTTCCCCACTGAATTTCCCAGAGAGCTCATCAACCATCGACATCACAACACCACCCTACACACTTTGTATCAAATGTCAATCAATGTTATGTGCAAATATGCTGACTCGTACCGATAAGAACACATCATCTATCATGGCAACTGGCAAGATGCCATGAGGATGTTCCCATCTTACTTTACAACACCTCATGCGCGTCCTCCTTCGACAGGAGAGACGCATTGTCCAACATCAAGCAATTAGTCGACCCTGATTCACCTTTTGAACAATTTCTCCTCGTGTGGTCAGTCTTACCACAGTTCCAACAAATTGCTTTTTTCCTCATGAATTTACCCTTCTTTCCCTTTTCATTCACAAGCATCGCATTATCAGATGGAATATTCTGTCCCCTTAATATTCTTTCTTCTGAGATCAAGTTGCTTGTCATTTTTGCGAAACTCACAGTTTCCTTCCCATACATTAAGATTGGCTTGATATGTTCATAGGTAGATGGGAGAGATCAGATGAGTCGTAGTGCCTTATAATCATCATCATCTATCTTCACTCCAATAGCCTCCAGTTCTGAAACAATCCCACTGAAACACTCAGATGTTCTGAGATTTTCGTACATGCCTCCATACGTAATGAATGAAATTGCTCCTTCAAGTACAACCGATTTGAGAGGCTCTTCGTTTGATATAGTTCTTCTAACTTCTTCCATAGCTCCTTTGCAACAAATATCCCATAAATATTTGCAAGAACGTTTTTAGCCAGACAGTGATGCATAGTGCTTGCAGCCTTCAAATCCAATTCTTCCCAATTGTCATTGTTAATACTGGATTCAGCTTCCTTGCTAGAACTCTTAGTCGGTTTCTCCTTCAAAGTCTTGTGCAGTCCAGTTTGAATCAATAAATCCCTAACTTGCCAAAATTGATTTTTCCGTCAAATTTCTCCACGTCATATTTTAACAACGACATATTTTTCTGTTGCTCCAATACTCAAAACCACCTAACGCTCTAATACCACTTGTTGGAAATTTTACGCCAATTTTTTTTTATTTCTATTTATTCGAAGGATCTTTTATTATTCAAGAAAATATTAGCAAACATGAAAAATAAAGAATTAACGTATAAATTAAACGGACCATCAAAACTTTTCACCATATGAAAATTGTTACAACCGTATGAAATTTCACTCTCCAACTCAATCCTCAAGTATTATAAAGAAAAATGAACTCGAGATTTACCACATTTACTTTTCTACCATTTGTACGAAAAGTCTCAAAATGCTAAACTCACAATATCTTTATCTCAAATTAACTCTCAGGCTATACCCAAAATAATGAAATACAACAACTATTTATAAGATTAGTAACCAAGTAGAAGAGTTTAATTTCAACTCAAATAATGACTCCTTCAAGTGCAAGATTCCAAAATCGGCTTTAAATTAGAAACCAAGTACTGTAAGGATTCTGCTTTCAACTTTAATTATAAGTCTTCCATACAATCATTACATTTTATTATTTGCAATGGAAGTCTTCAAACTTTTGACTTTGGAGGCGATTACCCATCAGTCTTGATGGAATTGGATTATATCCCAATCATACATTAGCTGCAATATCCATGATCAACTACATTCTATAGAAATATGAAAAACTTTCATTTTTAAATAGTTTCATATATTTTTCACAAACTTTTACAAACTTCAATTTCAAAATATTTTTAAAATTTCATAAAAACAAAATTAATCTATATAATTACCAAAATATCACACTGTACATAAACTCAAAACAAGTGAAATTGAAGTCATAATCAAGACAACTTTACAAAGGCAGACAAAATAACTTTCCTTCAAATGAACCACTTAAGAAGAAAAAAACCCATCTCGTGAAAAAATATAATGATAAAAATATTAATCTTTAGCATGTTTAAGTTCATTGATAAACTAAAATCAACCACTATATAAATGATAAAATGATTTTAAAAAAAAGGAAGTTAAGAACTTATTGTGACAGAAAATAAAAAATGTGATATTTTAATAATAAAATTATATTGTGAATTATCACTCCGGTGATAATTTCCTTCGCTTGTGGTCGAAGGATTCTTGTAATAATATGAAACGATCATGGGCAAATAAGAAAATTCAATGAAGCGTGAGCTTATGCTAACGTGAGCCATCGGATGACAAGCCATTGAATTGAAATCCATTTTATTCATATTAGTGCATTCCCAAAAAGAGTCTTAATGTTATTTGCAGTTGCTCACTGTTATAGTTGCCTTACGTTTCATAAATGTGGTGATTTGATGCATTAATGTGATAGTATTTTATTGTCTTATGCATCAAATTATTAAATGTCACATGTATATTATGTAGGACGACTGCAGTAATAGGTGATTGTAAATATCATTATTCATTTTTAAATAGTATATTATATCATTTGAAAAACATTTATAAATTTAGGGAGATAAAATTTTAAAATATTCCAACAAAAACTTTTTATATTTAACACTCAATTATATTACTCTCAAAAAATATTTATTATTTTTATCTATCTTTTATTTTAATTTGCTTTTCTATAAATTATTTTATTATTTTTTTACATTAAAAATTAAAATATTTTGAATACATTTAATTATAGAAAGTTAGTCTCTAAACTAAAATATTAATTTAAAAAATTATTTAAAATATGATTATAAGAATTGACTTTTTAAAATTGACAGCATCTCATGTATGAAGAATCTCTTAAAATTGCTTTTGTGTCTAGGGATGTCAACGAATCGAGTCGAAATTCAAAACTCGAGCTCGGCTGAAGTAAAATGAAATGGGCTTTTTTCAAGCTCGAGCCGAGCAAAAACTTGACGGAAAAAAAGGCCTGACCTGAGCTTTCAACTCGAGCTTTAGCAAGTCGAGTCGACTCAATTCTCTCTCTCTTTTTTTTTTTTTTTTTAAATAATTTAAAACAACAGCTAGCTGCATTTTTTTTTTTTTTTAAGTTTTCGTGGCTTTTTTTTTTTTAAAAAAATAAGTCCTGAGCCGGCTCGGGCTAAACCTAGAATCTCAAAATGAGGCTCGACTCGAACCTATTCTAATTTTTTTCGAGCCGAGCCACGAGCAGCCTGAGCCGACGAGCCCAATTCACGGCACTAGTTGTTCCCCATTTCACGTTGCCCTATTTCCCCACGTTCACTTCTTCTGCACCTCCAAGCACTCAATTTAAAGGATTTATTCCTGTCTCTCTCTAAAACTCACACACACACACTCTCTCTCTGTAAAACTCGCACTTCTGCTCGCTAATGGCTGACAGCACTGAGTTCGATTCCCGCCCTAACCAGATCTCCAAAGGTCATTTTCCCTCATCTCTGTATGCGCTCTTAATTAATTAAGATAACGGATTTTAAGTTTTTCGGTTTTCCTATTTGAATTTTTAATGATGTGAGTTTTTGAGTTTGCTTTTCTGTAAGACCATGGAATGAAGCTGCTTGTATTCTTCCATGGGTGGCGTTACTGTGGGTTTATGTGATAAAAACTGTTTTTAATTTTATTAACGTCAAGTGTAGGAATTTAGAGGGCATTTTCTTGCACTCGTGTGTCATGGTCCCGGTGGAACTTGTGAGGGATTGAATCCCACGGTGGAAGTATGGGCTTCCTTCGTGTGGTTTATATAAGCTTGGGCTCTTGAGCTTCACCGGTTAGCTTTTGAGCTATTGCTCTCTCAAGTTCTATGATATTGGTATGCATCACGTCTCAAGACCCTGGTTGGTGTACGGGCACCAGGGTCGGAAGTGTGGTGGTTTGTCATGGTTCCGGTGGAACTCATGGCGGTTTGAATTCCACGTTGGAAGTATGGGCTTCATTTGTGTGGTTTATATAGGCTTGGGTTCTCTAACGAGTAGTTTTTAAGGTATGGCAAGTTCTATGACATTGTGGTGTACCATTTTTTTGTCTGCTTTTTTTATAGATATGAAATATAAATTTTTTGTTGTTTTTTGTTTATGTATCATTGAGTGCAGTAATGATTTCTGTTAGGTGACAGGCAGCTTGCATGTCGCGACTGAATGGAATTATTTTAGAATGGAGTTTCTTATTTTCTTTACCAAAACTTGATATCAGTGTTAAGTTGCTGAATTTTCTACAACTGCAATTACATGGAAATGAAGATTTTTTTTAAAAAAAATAAATTAAAATTTAACGTTGTTGATATTGATTACTGCTGCCCGAGTTAATGAACAAAGTGAGAAAATGTTTCTACTAAATTATGATAATGAACCTTGTGCTTGGGGTATGTGCTTGCTACAGTAATTTTGTCATTTAGTTTCTATTCTTTGCACGTGGTGCATCAATTATCATTTTGCATTGAAGTTTTGTATTGGGACATTACACGAAACACTGGTTTGGAGGATGTTTCTTTTACATTTTTCTCTGGATGTGTACAACAAATTATAACCAAAAGTAATCTGATCTCTATGCTATGCTGCTTTAAAGTGTAGTGTTGGAATAAACAAAAACTGTAACTAATGTATATCGGTCAAGATTTTTATAGCTAAATCCGGCAGTAATAACATAATATTTGTTTGCATCACAAAGAATACTGGATCTATTTATCATTTTATACATTTATCTTATATACATTGCTTTCATGTATATGAGCCGAAAGAACGCAGCTAGGTCTATATATGTTTGCTAATTTACTTTGTGGACGACACCTTGGGCTCCTAACGATTAATTGGGGAATGGTTTGAAGAGGTGGAAATAAAGTATCTTCAATTTTTTATAACTACATCTAGAAAGATTGGAAGAAATATAATAAAAATGATAGGGGTGAAAATTGTTCTGATTTTGTGGATTACTTGTTGAGTAAGAAATATGGCAGATGCTATATCAAATGTTACATTATTGTTATTTTAACAATGCCAAGTTGATGTAAATATGTACTATTTAGGGTGAATGTAGATGGATGACTTAAGAAATTGAAAAGTGAATCAAGGAAGAAGATTTTTGTTGGTAGTTTAGGGTCTGTAGACCATTGATCTTATAAATATTTACTATGACAATCTACATTTAGTTTATGGAGACACTTGGCAGTTTGTTTGTACTACATATCGAATGGATGTGAAATATAATCGATTTCTATTATTCAAGGAAGTCAATTTTTTACTATGGGTGATAATATGCAATCCATATAATTTGTTTTAATAAGACATCCCGCCACATTAGTGTTTGTGTGTATAATCTTGGTTTGGAAAACGCCACAATCGTTACAGCGTGTTATTTCTCATCACAACAATAAAGTATTATATCCTCACTTTCTCTTAAGTTCTTCTGGAGTATATTTAATTGGCATTTTACCTTTGATATCTGTAGATATGCATGGATCCAACAATACCATTCCACTTTCGCCACAGTGGCGCCTGCCAAAGCTCGGGGAGAATAAGGCTGGAATAGTTACTGGGGTTTGTCATTATTTATTTTTTTATTAATGTTGATATTGGTCGAGCTGTTGCTCTCATTGCAATTGAATATGAAACAACTATTTAAAAGACTTTTCATAGCCTGCATCAACATTTGCAGTCACATATTATTTTTGGTGCAGGAAAGCCAATTCACATCACTTCCAAGTAATGCCAATTCTGTGGATATCGCGAACTTACCTGGATCAGGTGAGATTTTGCGGGATAACCATAAGAAGAAAGATGTTTTCCGACCATCTGTCCTGGATATGGAATCTGGACGTCGTGACCGCTGGCGTGATGAAGAAAGGGACACCAACTCCTCTATCCGCAAAGATCGATGGAAGGAAGGGGATAGAGAGCTCTATGACAACCGCAAGGTGGATCGCTGGACTGACTCATCTGGACGACACTATGGAGAGGCCCGTCGTGCTCCTGGGGAGCGATGGACTGATTCTGGAAATAGGGAAAGCAATCAGGATCAACATAGCAAATGGAGCACTCACTGGGGGCCTGATGGAAAAGAGACAGGCACTATGCTTGAGAAGTGGGGGGACTCTAACAAGGAATCTGACATGCTACTTGATAAAGGGCCAGCCCATCCTTCATACCATGGGAAGGACGAGAAGGATGTGGACCACTATCGACCATGGAGACCTAACACTTCATACAGCAGAGGCGGAGTGGAGCCTCTGCACAAGGCTTTGACCCCAAACAAACAGGTTTCTACATTGGCGCATGGTCGCGGACGTGGAGAAAATCCTGCTCCTACACTTTCTCTTGGTAGGGGAAGGATTAGCTCTTGGGGGAACTCTGTCACCAGTATTGATATTCCCCCCCGTCCAGTTGGATCTTTTTCAGAAAAGGTTGAAAGTGACCTTGAAGAGCATACTCTGTTAAGATATAGTCGGACAAAATTGCTTAATGTGTACGGGATAACTGATATGAGAAACTTTGCAAAGCATTTAGAGGAGGTTGATAAAGTACCTTCCCTCTGTCTGGAAGAACCTTTAGAGCCTCTAGCTTTCTGCACCCCTACTCCTGAAGAATTGGTAAACATTATCTACTGTTTCAAGAAGTTCAGTTGGTTTCTACTTGGAATTTCAAATGCTTGCTTGTGTCTGTAGGTTATCTTGAAGGGAATTGATAAAGGAGAAATCATGAGTAGTGGCACACCGCAGATCACTAAAGAAGGATCTGTTGGTCGAACCCCAACTGATTCTTTGCAGTCAAAAGGAAGCAGGCTTGGTATTGTTGTATTCGTATTTATTATTTTTATACGTCCCCAATCAATTTTTCATGTTATGTGATCAAAACATTGGCACTCTTTGATCTATATTGGTTTTACTTTCTATGATCAGGCAGTAGAAATGATTTGCCCCTTGCTCTTGATAATCCTAAAAGCAAAACTGTGGACAATGTTGAAGGTGGTTATTCAAATTATTCAGAAAGCTTGTCACACGAGAAACATATGTATGCTTGGCCAAATGCTAAAGTGGAGACAAAGCAGGATTATCAGGCATTTGCTGATCACAAGTTGAATCCTGAAGGTGCCATCAATTATTTAAATTTCTTTTTTTCTTTCTTTTTCTTTTCTTTTTTTTCCCCCTTTTTTGGTACTGTGCAGGATAACTTCAGCCCGAGATGGTGAAATCATATGTAAACAAAAGGGGGACAACAAAGTCACAGAAATGACTTATTAGATAAAATAACAGTTGAATTTGCAATCCATCAAATTGTACTGTTCAATATCTCGTGGTAGCGAGGATGTTCTGGTCAGAGCTTTCTTAAAATTGATGATTATGATATCTGTCATTTTAGGATCTTATTGATTTTACATTTGAGTTTCAATTTCTCATTGCCTTTTAAGACATTTCCTGCATGCAATTAACTAAAAACTACATGTTTCAAATAATTGCACCAACTCCTGTGTGTTATTCATGAATTGAAATTTTAAAACATATTCCACTTCATTTAGCTTTAATGCAATAGCTACAAATCTAAGAAAAATAACTTATTCCTTTCTGTTTCAGCTTTAAAAGAAGACAACGCTTCATATGGGAAGAACAAGGACTTGACCTCAAGTAGAGAATCTAGCATGCCAGGAAATTCTTCAATGCTTCACGTGGGTGCTTGGAGATCTTCATCTTTCCCAGAGCATTCCAAGTCAACTACTCATGATTGGAGAGGGACATCTATAGATGTGCAGAAGGATTTGACCAGTGCTTGGGAGAACAATTTTGCAGATTCAACAAATGCCAAAAGAGAAGGATCCAAATGGCAGATAGGTGATGACTCGATCATGAGAAGTCAAACATCTGCAGTGTTTGACAGGGAACTTGAATCATTCAAGAATTTTCAGCCATCTCCAGAGGACCTAGTTCTTTACTATAAGGACCCACAAGGTGAAATTCAAGGTCCTTTTGCTGGGAGCGATATAATTGGGTGGTTTGAGGCTGGTTATTTTGGCATAGAGTTGCAAGTTCGCCTGGACAGTGCACCGGCCGACTCTCCATTCTATCTGCTGGGTGATGTGATGCCCCACTTGCGCGCCAAAGCTCGACCACCTCCTGGATTTAGTACGCCTAAGCCTAATGAAATTCAAGATGCATCTGGTAGGTCGAACTACAACAGCCTTGGAAAGCTTCACTCAACTTCAAGCGAGACCGATACGACAACAGCTGTCATGGATACTTTTCCTCAGTCAGAAATGGCAAATAGATATACATCCGAACAGAAATCACATAATGATGAACTCATTGAAGTTTCATCATCTGCTGATTCTCCAAGTTTTCCACCTGGGGAAGATTTGGGAAAATCAGCTGCACTGCAATTGGTAGGAGGTTGTGAAAATGAGTTGGTGGTTCCTGAAAGGGCAAATGCAGTTGTGGCACCTCCAAGCACAGTATCAGAACCTCAAGATGTAGGAGAGAATCACATTGATGATTTCCTTGGGGTGAAGGAAGTGAGAAATGTGGAAACACAGGAGGTGAAAAAATCATCTGCCAAGAAGTCAAAGAAGCAGAAGGCTTCAAAGGCACAATCCTCTGACTCAGCAAAGGGAGTCTTTAATACTCAAAATGCAGAATCACCAGAATTTGAAGGGATAAATATTTATGATGAGACATCTGAGATGCAAACTGTTCAAGGAAAGAGGAAAACTGATAAAGTTGCTTCTGATGGTATTGATTCTTCGTTGGGCCAAAACTCATTGCCTGCACATGGGTTCACAGATGATGGTGAGGCTACCATGAATAGGGGTCCACCAGGACAAGTTGTATCGCAGTTCAATACACAAGCAAATTCTGGACAAAGTGCCTGGAAGCATACTCCTAGTTTCAAGCCTAAATCATTATCAGAAATTCAACAGGAAGAGCAGAGGAGAGCACAAGAAGAATTGGCAGTTTCTGAGATCTCAACATCTCTGAGCTCCATGAGTGTCTCTACTCCTTGGGCTGGGATTGTTGCAAATTCAGATCACGAGGCACTTGTTGAAACACTACAAGATTCTGCCACCACTGAGTTAATTTTGGGAAAATCTGAGAGTTTCTCCAACCAGAAGAGCCAATTACACGATCTATTTTGGGAAACTAATGTGACCAAGTCAAGTGAAAATGAGATGCAGATTTCTGATGCAGCATCTAGTCTACCTCCTGCATCTGTTATGCATTCTCAAATTGATTCAGTGGATGATGATAACTTTATTGAGGCTAAAGATACTAAAAAGAGTCGTAAAAAATCTGCTAAAGCTAAGGGTGCGGCAGCTAAAATCTTAGTGCCTGTTGCTTCACCTGATTTGTCTGTTGGATCAAATTTCATTGAAAAAGGCGATCGTTCTCATCAGTTACAGCAGAAGGAAATATTACCTGCAGTTCCCTCAGGCCCTTCCTTGGGGGATTTTGTTATCTGGAAGGGGGAGTCAACAAATCCTTCCCCTGCTCCTGCCTGGTCCACTGACTCTGTGAAGATCCAGAAGCCAACATCATTGAGGGACATCCTCAAGGAACAGCAGAGAAAAGTTTCTTCTGCATCTCAGGGAACTCCAATGCCAACACCTCTGAAACCTGCTATCAATCAACCTCCCCGTGGAGTTGGTCATACTTCGTCATCTTCTGCCAAAGCTGCATCCTCTATCCAAATCAACTCGCCAGCTTCTTCTCGCCCAAAACATGAAGTCGATAATGATCTGTTCTGGGGCCCATTAGAGCATCAGCAACCTAACCATGAGGCAAAGCAGTATGAATCTCTCACGCTTGCTATTCTAATGTCTTTTATGATCATACATTATTAAATAACCTGATTTTACCGATCTGAATCTGATTTTTGCAGTGACAACTTAGTTTTTTGTTCTTTCTCCTGTAGAAATTTTTTAATCTGTGTTTTACTTTTATGGGGATTGAGTCAATGTTCTATGATGTAAGCCTGCTGTGAGCATATGTAATCGTTGAAAATGTTAGTTATTTGCAAGCCACTTAACTACCAGTAAATAGGATTTGGGCAAGAGCTCCTTGCTTATATTATCATGGCAAAATGGATAACAAGGAATCAAAAGAAAGGCCAAGCGATTTAATTATATTTGTCTGCACTTAATGGTTGAGCTCATGAAGGTATTACAGACATGTATACTAGTAAGGTATCCTTACCCTAAGTCCTTGACCTCCACTCTCCTCCATTTCTTTACTGTCACCTGGAAAAGTGCAAAATTCCTGCACTATCTGAAAAAAACATGGAGTACCTTCACAAAAAACTTGATAGATGAGAAGGATAAATGAGGCTTTGTCTCCCCCCCCCCAAGCCATGAACAACATTGGCAATAGAAACAGCATGATGAAAATATGTTTGCTTGTTTAGTTATGTATACTTAATCAGTTAATCTAGTGGTACATAATGAGGGTGTACCTAAGGGTGTACACCCCCCTTACATGGGGTGTGGGGTCCACTCGAATAAGTTTTTTTATTCGGGTGGATCCCACACCCCATGTGAGAGGGGTGTACACGCTTAGGTACGCCCCTATGTACCACTAGCAGCACCGATACTTAATTGATGCAATTGAAGATGGTAGCACTGAGTTAGTGACTTGGTGCTCGATCCTATGACATGGAAGTTGATGAGATTGGGTACGTTGAGCGAGAAGGAGCATGGGTGCGTACTTAAAACTGTAAAGTAGGGGTACAGTTGGAGAGTGGGTAGTGATTAGATGATTTTGAATTTATCTTTTAAAAAATACCTTTCACATTTCTTGATTGTTGTCTTCTTGCCCATTAATAGTGGCTTAGCTTCATTGAAACTGAACTAGTGGTCTGGCTTCATCAATAGGACGTTCCTTATGTTGTCTAGCTGTATTATAACCAAACCACTTGTTGGCACTTTTTGTTTTTTTGTTTTTTAACTTCTCTTTTTAAAATTCAGGACTGGATTTTTTGAACTTTCTAATTGTGCAGAGACAAGTTTGGAAATGGTCTTGTGTTTGCTAAGTCGCTCTCTGTATTGCCTGCAGGTCAGATTTTCCTCAACTTGGAAGCCAAGGCAGTTGGGGAAGCAAAAGTACCCCAATCAAAGGAACTCCTGGAAGGTCATTGAATCGACAGAAGTCCAATGGTGGTAGGCCTGGAGAGTATTCACTTTCTTCATCACCTGCCTCTGCTCAGCCATCCTTGAGAGGGAAAACGGACGCCTCGACTAAGCATTCAGGTAAACCACTCTTGGAACAATTTTATTTTATATTTTCTATCTTAAAAATGAATTGAGAGAATGAATCAGCTTCTTTCACCATACTGTTGCAGAGGCAATGGACTTTAAGGAATGGTGTGAGAGCGAGTGCTTCAGACTTGTTGGATCAAAAGGTTTGTATAAGTTGCTGTTTCTGTATAATAAGCATAAAGGGTGCCATTTTAAATAAGTTGTATGCTGATTATAAATTCCGTTCTTTCTAGATACAAGTTTCTTGGAATTTTGTATAAAGCAATCAAGGGCGGAAGCTGAAATTCTTCTAACGGAGAACCTCGGCACTTTTGATCCCAACCGTGAGTTCATTGACAAGTTTCTAAATTACAAAGATTTTCTTCCTATGGATGTTATTGATATCGCCTTCAAAACACGGAATGATCGAAAGGCCACTGCCTCCAGCGTGGGAGATATGGCTTCCGACTTTGTTGGCGTTGGGGGCTCCAACCAAGGTGGTGTGGATGCTACTGATGGTGCCCCAACAGGAGGCAAAAAGAAGGGGAAAAAAGGGAAGAAGGTAAGCCCATCAGTGCTTGGATTCAATGTTGTTAGCAATCGAATAATGATGGGGGAAATTCAGACAATTGATGATTAGATAGATAGTGTGAAATTGTAAATACTTTTTGTTGAGACTATTTAACCAAAGCTTTTCGGTTCCTCCATGGAGCGAACTGTCAGCAGTCAATTTGTTCTGCTCGAGCAATTTTATGAAGTTGCCTAACTCTAGGTTTTGTTATACTGATTGAAGAATTATAGGTAGCTGTATTGAAGGTTGGAATCCAATTATTTATATAATTTGAGTTTGAATAGACTGAACTTCATGCTGTACACTGACTTTTTTCGTAGGACTAGATTTTTTATGGTTAGTCCTTAAAAGATTTTCATGGACTATGGATACAAGTAGTAAAGTTTTTGAGTTGAAGCACTAGAACCAGGTGTGTGGTTTAAAATTAGCCAAACATGCTACTCTTTTAATCAAAGATTATTAAAGGAACAATTGAATACATCCTACCAAAGTTCAGCTGAATCTACTGTGAATATCCCAAACTGAAACAGCATGATACGACTTTAAAATGGGGAGAGCTAATTAGAGAAATTCCATTAAAGATAAATCCATACCTCCTTGGCTATGGTGCCATTTATAATAGCATGGTTGGCATCTAGATGGGAAGCTTTACTTGTCAAGCAGAAGCTGATTGAAATTCTTAGGCTTCAGTGTAAGAGTGGCTGAGGAGTGAGTAGAGGGGGTACAAAGTGAGCTCTTTCCCCTCTGTTGACCATACTCAAAAGATCATTGTCCTTTCCCAACTTCCCAAGCAATATAAACTTGTCACTGCCAACATTCTTTAAGCATCTTTAATGTTAATGTGGATTATATTAAAAATATTGCCTCAGAAGCAGCATAAAGAGTATCCTAAGAAAAAAAGAAAGGGAAAAATATATCAATGGTATCCATCAAAAACTGTCAATTGAACAAGAAAAAAATATTATTTAGATTTGATAAAAGATACATAAACAGTCTTAGAACATCTCCAAGAGTTTCTTTAAATATAAAATGATCTCTATTTTAGAAAATCGACTTTTAGGATCATTCTTCAAGAAACTATTTAAATTAACATTTTAATTTAGAGAGTGAGTTTAACTCTCCAAATTTGGAATGAAGATTCAAATTCACTATCTATAATGAAATGCATTCAAAATGTTTCAATTTTTAACATAGGAAAATAATAAAATAATTTTAAAAAAGTTAGCTAAATTAAAAGATGGAGAAAAATAATATTTGAGAGTGGTAAAATTTAGTGTTAAATATAAAAATTTTGTTGAAGTACTTCAAAATTTTAACTCTCTAAATTTTTAGATACTTTTCAATTGATAGAATATACTCTTTAAAAATAAAGAGTTTCTTGAAGATGTTCTTATTAGATTGTAGATAAAAATAAAGAGTTTCTTGAAGAGTATTGATTTTGAAGTCAACATTAAAACATCTAGTCAAAATTTTGATAGGAATTTTTTTCCTTTTTGACCCCTTTTCCCTTTTTGGGAGTTTTGATTGTGTTTTTGGGGCAAGTTATTTGTGGTGGAAGAATGATGAACTTTAAAAGCATTATTTTGATCGAAAAGTGTCCCTCAATTGGAGAATGCCATGTTTCCTAGAAGAAGCTAATCTTAATTTGCCTTAATCCGAGGGACTTTTGGGAGTAAAAATTAGAATCTTTAATTTTCAATCTTCTAGTTATGCTGATAACTCTATTATAGACAATTTTTACAAGTTTTTTTCGTCTTCTCTATGAATTGACATTCTCTCATCACGTTAGAATTCATGATTAAGTTCAATTTTCCTAATTCCTGTTGAGATTTGTTCTTCAGTGACATTTGTCACACAATTCGATATGTGCACTCATAGATTTATTATATGAACGTCTACGTTCATTGCGTCAAAGTTGAACTTAAATGACATTTAAGTTCAAGACCAAGCCTTTAATTCCACTAATGTATGAGACTTTTATTTGTCTTTTGAGACAAGTGTTAGGATTCTGCATTCCATTTCCATTGATAAGTAGAGACACATTTTTTATTCAACACACTTCAAAGGCCAAGATATAAATACATGTTGGCAAACAATGCGATCCTTTTGCAATACACGTGGAGTCCTAAAAGTTAGAACATAAAAACTAGATGAAAATAAGAAAATCATTGAGTTTGATATTTGCACTTACGGATTTTTTATATGAACGTCTACATTCATTACGTAAAAGTTGAACTTAAATGACATTTGAGTTCAAGACCAAGCCTTCAATTCCACTACTGAACAAGACTTTCATTTATCTTTTTAGACAAGTGTTAGGATTCTGCATTCCATATCCATTGATAAGAAGAATATCAGTGATTGAGACACATTTTTTATTCAACATGCTTCAAAGGCCAAGATATAAATACTCGTTGGCATGCAACGCAACCTTTTTACAGTGAACGTGGAGTCCTAAAAGTTAGAAGATAAAAACTAGATGAAAGTAAGAAAATCATCGAGTTCATAAAAGTACTAAGTTCACTTTGCCTACATTTGGCTTATGTCCGAAACACACTATCACTTTTTGCTCTCAAAAAGTACAAGTACTCTCCAATTATTTATAACACCTTTCTATTTATTTATAATTTAAAGCCAAACTTTAAAAACAGTGGTCATATTTTCAAGTGGTCAAGTCGAAGTGATTATTTTCAACAATTTTCTCATAATTATTTTCCAAAAACACGATATTCAGATTCATTTTCACTTTATTGAAAATAAAAATTGACCAGTATTCCAAACTAAGCTCCCTCAGAACTTGAGAATATTTTCAACATCAAAATTTTCAGACAAGGCTGAAACATGACATTTTTCCCATCGTAGAGAGCTTCAAAGATGAAGAACAAAGCAATCAAGTAACACTCACAATGGTGAATGAATTCCAATACATACTACATGAATATACATGTTCTATTAAGAAATATTGGACGACGACGATAATGATGATGATAAATTAAATAAATAAATAAAATTTATGCATATGAACTAATGTGTTTGTGTATAAATTGAAGGAATCCAGAAGGATCCATTGGTTTATTAAAATCGAAGGACAAATCCTCATAGAATAGGTCGTTTCAAACATCACAGCCCAAACGCAACTAACCAAAACATTTTAACTTTAATAATTCATTAAGTTAGGTGAAAATCTCTTTAAAAACAAATAAAAATGAAAAATTGGTGTAGCTCAGAACTCGGATAAAAATCATGTACTCGTTTCATTTTACAAAATTGTGTGCAGTGGGCTGGTAAGACATCCTATTCAATTTATACATCAGTTATATCTCCCAGTGTAATGTCCCAAATTTCAATAATATATCCAGCGCGTTAACAAACGTGAGTTCTTTAATGTAAATCTGATTAAAGAAATTTTTTAAATAAGAATATATTTAATCAAACTATATAATCATGATATATCTATTTTTTTTTTAACATATAAACTTAGAAATATTACGGAACAAAATAATTTTTAAAAAAAAGCAAGCTGAAACAGTTTTCTACGGTTCCGAAATTATTTGATCTAGCAAATCTTGATGAAAATTTATAAAATTTTACATAAAGTATAGAACTCATATAGGTACAACATATAAAAATTTGGGATCTCGACGATTACGTTTGAAGCACGAAATTATTTTTCGAACAAGCTGGTCCATGTTTCCCGAATTTAACCGTCATAGTAAACTAAAGCTGATCATTTTCCAATTAAAAACATGCTAAAATTCTAAACATACCGACCATAGCACAATTTTAAAAACATTGACAAAATTCTGAAATTTACTAAAAACACACTTTCAAACATTAAAAAATTTCCTCCTAAAAACATGAATTTAAACTACAATTTATAGGACACCCAATGATTATTAAACATAAAAGTGACAATCTAAAACATAAGAAATAAATTTCTCTAAAAAAAAAGCACATGCCATTTATGATGAACCACCGCTAGATCTCCGATTACTCCGAAAGATTAAATAAGAGTGAGCATTATGTTGCCTTCATAAATAAGCAAATCGATGATCAAATGATTTACTTTCTGATGGGCCTCTGCAATCATCGGTTTAAACAAATATAATCTTTCATGCATCAAAATTTAAGAAAAACTAGCACTTCATATACTTCATGAGCAAATATAACGAATAACATGTTTAAATGAAAATTTAATTCATATAACAACAACTTCACGTAGGGATCCTACCTTAATTTGAAGTGATAAGATAGTATCTACTTGAACGGAACACTCCAAATCTCAAATGTAAAAATGCTTTCTTTAACGGGTTTGTCGTGTGTGCATGTATATTATCTAAAATGTCTTGTAACCTAATTTCAATTGGAATTCATACGTAAACAGGAGTCTAAAACCGTTTAAAATGATAGAATTTGATTTTCAAGTATTAGCACTGGGGATATGTATTAGATATATATATATATATATATATAATCAATCAAAATATCAAATTCCAACTATCTAGTGATACTCGTGGCGCTAAAATTTCAATTGCTCAAATATAACTTCTTTTGAACTTCAATAACTTAGCCTAGTTTATCCGAAATAACTTTTTCTCGAGTACAAAATTCGTCATTTAATATGAGTTTCGAAATAAGCCCAATATCGATATAAAATTTATCGCTAGATGAATACTTGATTATCTGACCGAAAGCTAAAATTTTGACACAATGACTTATTTTTAAACTAGTCCATTGGTATCTCAATTAACAAAATATGTCAAGATGAAATAAATGAAAAATTACCTTCGATTGCTACATTTGGTACACACATAGCATCATATACAGGGAGAGGGTAAACCAGATGCAATATTGACGTATAATTAATACATGAAAACCACACCAGAAAATCGGAGAGAAACACATCATCAGGTAAAAAGAAAAGCCAGATCGAAATTATTTGGATCGAAGAATTCGGTGAAGATGAACGAAAGAAGTGTATTATGGAAGGCGGCTTATGGATTGTTTAAATAGCGATTTATAGAGCTAGGTTTTGCTTTGAGTTAATTTCCCAAATCGCTATGAAATTTTATACTTAAAATATGTTTGGTTTGGATTAAAATTTATTTTTAATTTAAGTTAAAATCAAACAATCAATATTAACCACACATTTTTTATGGGTCTCACAACTTTTCAATCATATATTTCAAAAACTTCTATTACAATCTACTAAAATTTTTAATTTTAGTAATTTATTGCAAACCGCCATTAAACATCAAAATGTATTTCACTCAAACCATCAACTTGGGGTGGATAGGGATAA